TTGATAAAGTGCCTGCTCGTGGAAAAACCTTAGGAACTCCTCTTCAGAGGGACTATCTCCCACGTTAGCGTATTTCCAATCGATTTCCGGCAGGTTAAAATCACCAACCATGATGGTCTTCGTGGATTTCCTAGATAACGTGCTAAGTGTGATTATCAGCTATATATTCTCTTCTGATCTAGTTGAAGGTGCTCTGTAGACTCCAAGGAGGAGGAAGTGTCATTCTCAGTTCCAAATAGTGCATCCCACTGTTTGCACAGTAGGGGTGCACAGTCTCAGTTCAGTGTCTTCCCACTGAGCATATTGATTCTTCACGAGGATCAACATTCCGCTTCCCTTACCTACCTCCCGGTTTGTCGTGTACACAGCAATGTTTGGGGGGATAGGGTGATCTATGACGTGTCTTGGTGACAACCTTATTTCGGTCAGAATGACTACGTCATATTCTGGGCCCCTAATTTTCAGTTCGCCCCACTTATTTCCAACACTGCAGACGTTTGTATACCACTCATGGATAGTTCTTTTTGGTTGAGCCATCCTGTCAATGACTGTTCTCTCACAGTCCGATTCCGGTTCATTTATATCCAGTTGAACGCTAACATGGCTGGTTTGTAAAGCAGCTGCTACCCGCGGCTTTCTTAAATCAACCCTTGGACTCTTATTTTCAGGAGTTTGCGTACACCTAGAAGTGGAGAAAGGGGTCATACTTATATTTATATCTATGACTGAAATCTCCCTCAGTGGCGTTTTTATCCTCCCGACCGTTATTATGCTAGTCTTCCTGTTCGCTCCCGGTTTATCCCGGTCATGTTCTGTCAGCCGTTCACCCCCTTAGTGCGGGGAAAAAGTGTTACCGGTTCGGTTGTCTAAGCTTTTGTTTGACGTTGGTTTTCGGCGTCCTCGGTTGTATTTTTACTGTATGATGACCCGGTCTGATAGGCGCGACATTTTGAGGGCCGCCTACGCGTGGAGTGGATGCAACGACATCAGCATAACTCGGAAATTTCTGCCCACCGTTTATTTTGTGAACCTTTACCAAGGCGTGGGTTTGAACACCTTTGGGGCCGCTCTTTACGGATACACCTTTTCCTGGTTTCGGCTGATCCACTTTTGGTCGGACACCCACCAGGGGTCGTTCACTCATGCGACTTAAGTTATCTGGTGCAATTCGATATCTACCCCCGGTGGCTTTTTCTTCCCTTTCACTACTGCATAGTAGCATATTCCTAATATTAGGATTTCCGAAGTCGACTAGAATGGGTCTAGCAACCATGACACCTGGGGCACATACTTTCCTTCATCTCCCAATCCTCTGAACCCTATGTATGAGTGCACACACGGGTAACCCTGCGGGTCTAAGTATATCACGGACTCCTCGACCGTCAATATCCGCCCGGACCATCGCGTCTCTTATAACCGGTTCTTCATGGTTCATAATAAGAACGCTCCTATTTCGGCCCGTCGTCAGTTCTTTTGGCGCGTTTCAATTCAGACACTTCGGTCTCCAGGCCAGCAATCCCATGTACTAGACGTTTATTCGTTTGCGTCTGATCGAGTTGAGTGTTGCGGTAACGGTTGTCTGTACCGCTAGGCTCAGGCGCCGCAGCAGTGCGCTTCCTAGATGTGTTCTCTGCCATGACTACGCACAGGTAACATATCCACTGGAGCGCAGAATTACTCACGTATATCTTAAACACTCTTTTGTCTAGGTGGGCACAGCTCTGGTGATACCACTGGCCACAACAATCGCAACGTATGTCGTTGGAGACTGGAATTTTACATTTGTGCGCAATTCAGAATCCCGATTTTGACATTTCTCCACGCTTAATGCTTCGAAGGAAGTTCAGCATTTACGATTTAGGACTTAAGTTCCACAAAACGTGTGTAATCTCACGGATAACAGCAAGATCAGACACGTGGGAACTTACCGAAACGTTTGTTCGAAAATCTCTTACAATCCATTACGAATTCAGTTTTGTTCCAGGGAGCCTATTTTGATTTCCTTTTCGATTTTTATCGAT